AAAAAACATTACTTTCAGTCCAAGTCTCAGAGTATCACTGTGTTAATATGTCAGTAGAACATAGACTGCAAGGCTCAAATTAAATATAGGGCCTAAATCCCTGTGGGATTGTTAAAAGTGTGATTACCTTATAATGATGTCAAATCTTTTGCTAAGCACATTAATTATCGCCCTGCCGGCTGTTCATATTCDTGTCACATCTCAAGTGTGAGATTTCATGAAACTGCATTAATTCGCACGCAGAAAAAGAAAATCATTTGGTTGTAGTCACCTGTTTGGTGGTGACACACGTGAACTTTAAACTTAGCATGAGCAACGTCAGTGTTTGAACAGTGGTAGGTTGTGTGTGTGTTTAGGATGAATTATTGCGACAAACACATTGGATTTTAGATGAATATCTGTAAATTTTTACACAATTCATGGAATAATCTGTAGCAGATGCTTAGGCAAAAGGAAACGAATACAAAGCTAACTGTTGAAAGTCAAACTGAATGACTGCAACCTTTTGAAAGCAAGAATTTGAGTGAATGTCAATGCACAGACCCCGAATGTCTGAAAACATTAGTAGTAAATTGTAGTACATTGTTTAGAAGTTAAATGCTATTAATCAAGAAAATAAARCATGCACAAAAATTGGTAATTGTCTCTAGGCCCAGGTTCACTTAAGATGAACTGATGTGAGGTTTCCAACTGTCCTTTGGTTTGATGGATCATTTCTCATGGATATTATAAATGATATGTGTCCTCTGTGCTAAACAGAGGGACCATCTKGCTTGATGTTAGCACACAGTTCAAAAGCCAGCATCTGTGATGGTATGAGGGTGTATTAGAGCACATGAAGCACATGCTGACATTTCTGAGGGCACCATTTACAAACATCAAGTATGGAGTTTTAAACCAATGTGTACTGCAACACACGCGATCACAAAATTCAGGATTTTCTTCTATTTTTGKTAATACAGCATTTTAATTTTACAATGTTATGACCTTGCCGTTTTGTACATTTCATTTTTACAATGTACAAAACAGCTTCAAGGACTACATGTGAAACAATAAGAATGTAGCATCTTGATTARATGATCACTGCCTGGGTGTTTTCAAATGTTTTTTAGCATTTGAAACCACCAGAGCCAACAGAGTTTTTAAAATTACAGGTGACACATGCCTCAAATACTGGCCTTTTTTTAATATGTTGACTACATAACATTTATTACAGCAGAATACATTTCCTAAATCAGTTCAGCTGATCAGTTTAGATGTGTTTGTTTTTCCTTTCAGGGTTTTGGACTAAATTTAATGAACATTAGTTGCACATCACTGCCTTTAAAAAGTACATTTTAACCAGAAAATACAAAATGAATTTTTTTCAACAACAAAGTACTGTAGCTGCTTTACCWTAGGCTGCTTTGCTGTCCTCATCTATGCTTAGACTTTTCATAATCACATCTTCTTTTTCATGTAACATGTACAGATTGCGTTTTGAAGTATGTTTGTTCCTTCTGGTATTTCCAATTTTTATCGGTGATTGAAACTGGCTGAAAAAAATATATTATGTAAATAATTTAAAAAGATGCTTAAAATCATTGTTGTGGTAATAAAGCGTCGTCGCTACGCTTCCCCACACAGTTGGAGCTCTTAAACGCACCATGAGCAGACTTCCACAGGAAGTGAAGTGACGCTGGCGCGGTTGTTGAAAACAAACCCGTAGCGACGTTGTTAAGATGAAACTGTCGGCGTACAAACACATATCAGAAGCACAAGTACCAAAGCAGCGTTTATAAGACGCCTTTTATACCGTAAAACCTATTTTTTATCCTAGCAGATATGGAGTTATCTCCCCTGATAAAGAAAACAGGTAGGCTGAACCGCTAGCTGGTTTTATTGAAGCTCACTTTTCCTCCGCTTCTAGCTAACATTAGCTCATGTATTTTAGTGAATTATAACCATTTCTTCTTTGGCTTCTTTGTGCAAAAAACTAATTCGCTAACTTTATAGAAACAAATGTAATTTCCCGTAACTAAAGTCTGAACAGCTGTGATTGTCAAAACTTTTAAAGCAACTTTTTTATGTCAAATTTTAGGCCACTCTTTGGTGGAGATAAGAGTTCGAGCATTGAAAAGCATCTTGTGCAAGCTGGACCATTCCCTCATCTCTGTGTCTGACATTGTACAAGAAAAGATGCTGTTTGTGTATCTTCTGGAGTGGTTCAATTTCCCAGAAGTGCCAATGAAGGAGGARGTCCTCGAGTTGCTTTTAATGTTATCAAAGGTAAGATGTGCACTGTACTGATGGGAAATACAAGCTATGAAAGTAGGAGTTTGATTAATGAAGGATGGAAAATTAATATGTTTGGTTCTGCTTGTAAGAAATTAACTGACGTGCAATACATGTGTACATTTTATCCGATACTCAGTGTGTTGAAAACTCCAGTTTCCTTTCATTGTCAAGTACAAAAAACAAATTGAAATAAATTATAAAAGCTGCCAAGTTCTAAAATAAAATTAAACAAGTACTGTCAAAGATTACAAAGAAATGTGACTCGTAAATGTAATAGTTTAACAGTACTTTATACAAAATTATCACTTGTCACTTTTAAAACAACATGAGCTTCATACATTTTATATTCATATTTTGTGTTTATTTTGTCTTCAAAGCACCCCAGTGCAGCCCAGATGCTGAGAGACGTCGGGGCGGTGGACTTCCTCACTCAGCTAGCTCCTACGATGGAGCCCAGACTGCGAGCTGTCATCGATGGAACCCTGGACCAGCTGTTCCAGCTTCCYGAGCTTCTCCCCAGTCAGTCAGCTGTCTACTCACATGGATCACACAACACAAGTCCAACAGGTGCCTCGAGTTAAACCAAATCTTGTCTGACTTAGACATCACTTTCAGTTCACAATCTTGTGCTGCAGACGTTCAGGTTGTTAATCTTGTTTTATTTTTTTTATTTATTTTTCTGCAGCTCCAACATTAGGCACTACTGGAGATAATTTGCCTAAAACGGGTTATTTCCACAAGAACATGCACCACAACACAGACGTACCRCCTCAGAGGATAGCAGGTAACCCTTGATGGGAATTTTTTTTCAGTCKTCTCTGAAGGTTATGATTTTTCTATACATGACTCATTGTTTTTCTGAAATGTATTCTTCTCTTTTGTGCAGTGCAKGAATCTGTGAGATGTCTGAAGTTTTCTGTGTTTCCGTGGCTGACTTTGACAAACACAGACAGGCACATACTTTCTTCCAAYGAGAGGTAAAAATAAGAAGCTCACTGTTTACGTCACTGAGCTTTTTTTTTGTTTTCTGCTCAACGTCTGACGTTAATATCTCTGTGCCATAAAAAGTGCTAAATTTATCCCAGCTCTGTTAACAGGGTAGAAAGGATTTTTTTTTCCTTTAAGAAACTTATTTGTGGCAGTTATTTAAATTCCGCATTATTATTTAATATATTATGACTGCATATTAAGTATATCTGCTGTAATTCATTTCATGCAGCTCTCTGAGGAGTTGCAATCCCAACCTGGTGAGAACAACCTGTGAGCTTCTGTGTGACGTCATTATGCAGGACTTTCCTGCAGAAATCTTCCTGCAGAGGCCTGGCATTGTAAAGGTATTATTGCATCACAGTAATCATTGACATGTAATTGTCAAATTGTCTTGTCATAAAAAGTTGGAAATATTTCTACAGAATTTCTTCACAAAATCATTTTTTTCTGTCACTTCAGTAGAAAACGAAACCAAATATTAGTTTATTTAGTTTATTTATTTCTTCATCATCAATGACTTTTTGATTTATTTTTTATTATTTTTTTAAGTGAAGAGAAAATAGAGACAGAGAGAAAAACAGAGAGAGAAGTAATTAGAGAGATAGAAAGATTGAAATAGCGATTAGGATTATATTAAATATACACCAACAAAACACAGAACCACACACCCAACATCTGTCCACTCACCTGAAAAATAAATGGATAAATACATGGAGGGCATATATAAATAYATACACATACCCATACATATATAAAAATATACATACATACATGCCTACATTCATAAATATTGTCAATATATACACACAGACATATATACACACTCAGTGACCAGTCAGAACCCCCCGGATCAGAACACCTGTTTGTGAGCAGTTGTGAACATGCGTGTATATACAAGATTTCTCCAATGGAATATTTAATAGTGACTGTGGAGGACTGGAGACCCAACCCCCAAGACAAGAGGCAGACATAGGGAAGACCAGAGCCCAAGGGCACGAGAGGGATCCCGAGCGCAGAGCCCCAAGGGGCACCCGCACGGGAAGATCCACCCACCCAACATCCAGATCAGACCATAGGGGAGAACTGGAAGAGTCCCCCCAGCGACCACACACGCAGCCCCCGGGGGCCAGCAGCGACAAACTCATGGGCCCCACCGGCACCCGCCATACCAGAGCAGATCCAGGAAAGGGCACAGAGGTCCGGGCCCCCAGGGCGCACCCCCTCCAGGCCAAAGCCCGACAGGGCCAGAGGTCCTGAGCCCCAGCAGGCAGTCACCAGGCCAGGCTGGCACACACCCCAGCGCCCAGCCCCAGACCCCGGGAACCCCCAGCACGCCGGCGGCCAGCCGCACACCCCACCGGGGGGCCGAGTATTAGCGGGCCCCTAGATAAACCAGCAGGAGGGGCAGCCCAGACCACAGCCTGACAAATACCCAAACATACACAATCGCACCATCCCACCCTCATCCTCACCCCCACTCAGTCAAAGACATACAAGGACGCCACATTCCACTCATACCCCCGATACACACTCTATACCCCCCAGGTCCAGGACATGCACCCACCCACTATTTTAGGCAGCACACACCCGAACCCAGGAGGTAGACCCAATCATTCTGAGGTGGAGAGGAGTAGATAGCCAAGGCCCGGCCCGGGCCGCACCAGGACAGCCCCAACATCATTTTCAGATGATGAGATTTCACCTGGTCAGTTCTGCCTGTTCTCAGCTTTCAGAATGAGTTGTTTATGCTAATAAGCTTCTGTTGGCTCCGCCCTCCCAACCTTTTGTTTACATTAGCTCCGCCCTCCAAACAGTGTTTAAATTAGCACTTCAGATACGTGAAAATGGCTGCTACAAGCAGATGCACAATGGTACAACAGTAGTAGACGAGCTGTACGTGGTGTGGCCATCCCAGGCGAGGACTTGGTAGGGACAGACTAGAGCGAAGACTCCAGCACAATATTGCAGAGACATTGCCATCAAAAATAAATATAAAAGTAGGCCACCTATCTCTGTTCTCTGTGACTGTTGTTGAACAGCAGGACAAACGTGGTTGTCCTGTAATAAAGTGGGCGGAGTCCCCACTTGGGTTACCAGGGGAGGGGCTGGGCTCGTCTTAGGCTTTGCTAAGTTACCCGGATTGTGACGTAACAATCCGCAGGTTTTTGAAACAACTCATTTGCTGACACTAACAAAACATTTACATATTGCCAAAAAATGGGAGAATTTTTTTGGCACAAGTATAAAACCATGTAAAAAGTGAATTTTGCATAATGAGTCCAGTTTAAAAACATAAATTCTGGATTCTGGCCATCTACATTGTCTTTTTTGTCCTAATCACAGTTAATTGAGCAAATTTTTCTTATGTTTAGTATAACTAAATTTTTCATGCGGGAGAATTTTTTATTTTCCAGTCACATAGTTCAGTTCTACACCACAATCAAGTAACTATGTTGTTTTCATTTGTTATAAAAACACTGAATGTCATGAATTACTGGCTTAAACATAAAAGTATTAGTCCCATTACAATTTTGAAAATAAATTTTGTGGGAGGGGTGTTCTGTGGGGCGTGGCTGCAGACTGGTCAAAATAAGAACCTGTCAAGTGGTATTTTAWAGGGATGTCCCGATACCACTTTTTCACTTCCAATATGATACCGATATTACAACTTTGAGAATTGTCCGATACCGATATTGACCGATACCGATATTGACCCGTTACCATAGCAGTACAAGTCACACACTTTTACCTATTTTGTAATGTAAAATCTTAGAAAAGTCTTGATCAAGTCAAACAGTGAAAAAGAGTAGGTATGAGAAAAACTGACCCATTTATTTTTAACCAATGGATCACATACATTTTAAACTGAAGAACATTCTGCAATTTAATAAAATAAATTATAATAC